TTCAGAAACATGTTTATCTTATTAACATTTTAACTGACCTCAGGATATCATGAAAGTTGTGAGGCTGGCGGTAGAACTGGTTTGGAAAATCCTGAAAAGAAATAAAAATATGAATAAAAGGATGAAGTGATCCAGGATTTCATGTTAAGAAAATAACATTACAGCAGTTTTATTGACAGTGTGAGAAAGAAACAGAGGGCAGGAAGTATAAACAAAGTCAAAGTTCAGTTGAACAAAGGAACCACAGAATAGGATTTATTGATGCAACGGGCAAATGAAACCCATATCCAACTTTTCACAGCCATCTGAACAGATGTCCAAAGGTCAAGGTTTCAGGATTATTTCACACCTTAAAAAGAAGGTGCTGAAACTTGATTTAATCCGGATTAGGGGTGACCGATCGCTCCCATTTTAAGTGATGATAAGCGTAGATAAAAAGGAAAAGTTGAGGGTAAAATCCAAAGACCTGAACAAAAGAAGTAGCTGTCTTATTTCTGTTTTATCTTTTATTTCTTGTAACCATTGTGTTGGTTTTTCTTTAGGCACTAATAAACATTTGAAATAACATCCTCTTATCCTGCACCTGTTCCTCTTTTTTTTCTGTGCATCTTCATGCCTTATTTTCCTGTCACTTTGTTACGCCTGAATTATGGAAAAATAACGGATATTTAAATTCTATTCTATTATTTATCCTTATAAACTAGTTAATGACGCAGGGATTTCTCTATTATAAACATGGTTTCCTTTTGCAGGTCACTTCTTTAGCTTTAAAGACTAATACCTTAGATCAGAGCAAACACTGATCTAAGGTATTAGGGGCTGAACTGATGGCACATTGTATGAAGACAGGTAAAGGTTGCTATGGAAACATACATACATTATCTGGGATACTGTAATTTTCCATACATCCCATGAAATTAAGTCCTTATATCACAATAAATCCTGATAATTTCAGAGAATAGGGTTGTTTATGTAGCTGTGCTCAGGATAGAGACCAGTCCGCTGCTCAGGTCTGAGGTTCAGTAGCCTTTATTTAAGCTCCTCAGAGTCAACTTTAAATCCAGACCTCAACAAGCTGAACTCAATGAAGAATGTTTTACTTTTTTTACAAGTTTGTTTTCCTGAGAATCATTTTTACTGTCAATGTTTGCTTAAAAACCCGTACAGTGACGATGAATAAATAAAATACAATAGGAAAACAGCTGCGGTCCATACCTCCACCAGGATGAGCCTCTTGTCTGTAGCTCCTCTCTCACCTTTCATCTTCAAGCATTTGTATTTGTTAGCTCTTAGAAGAAACTCCTGAAACTGTGCCAGCTGAGAGCTGTAAGAGAAGCCCTCTGATCTCCATTCTGCAGAAGAAGATAAAAATCTACACCGCATTACTGTGGGATTCCAGCCCTTTTAGTGGAGAAATTAAAACCTCTGTTTTTATGTCCCTCTCATCAGTGGTTCCTCCAGTTAGCTTTAAGGACCATTTCTCTATGTGTCTCACCTGACTGACCGCTGAAGTACGGTTCTGCACTAGACGGGTTAGTCCACTCCTGAACTCTGATGCCCATCTCCAAAGAAAGAACTCTGACTGTTGCAGTTTTTCCGGAACCTGATGGTCCAGTTAGAATCAAAATACCCCCCTGGAACACAAACGAAGTCAAATGTCAAGTGCATGTTTATAGATTCTGCAGACGCTTCCACTCAAAGCAATTAATTAACATGTCAGTAAAAACACTCAAACCTTGGAGTAACAGAGACAACATGATTTATAAAGGCCAGATATTGTTTGATCAGAACATCCAATCAGAAGT